CGGATACAATAGTGCTTATGCGAGTATTAATATTGGTGTGATTCATTCATGTGTACTTAAAATTGCCGTGGAATGTAAATATTCAGTCGGAGGATGTTGACACATATTCATTGTGAAGCAAATGTTGATAAATTTGTTTGCATGCAGGCTTTGCCGTGTAACAAAGGATTATTTTAAGTCTAGTTCCAGGAGGCAAAGGTTTGCTTTAGTAATGCCAGTCTAAATATATATTTGCGTATGATATTGATAAGAGTTGCAGGTTAATTTATATTGATATACATGATATTTGAAGTAAATTTGTGAACATCCTAGTGATTATTATTGTCTCTGTCTTTGCGACCTTGGCTTGGATATAAGATAAGACATCGTGGTCTGAACATTAACTGCCTGGCTGTACAGCAAGTGGGAGAGTTACAGAGGGGAGGCCTGAGATGACATTGCAGTGCTAGTAACTGACGAACAGGTGCGTGGTCAGCGATCTTCTCTCACGCCTTTATTTGAGGATTGCTTGAAGTAGGCTACAGCAAGGGTACCTTCTTCCCTCTCCTAGATATTATGAGTGTTTTTGTATGTAAGAGAGTAGTGGGCCGAGCCTCGTCTAAACCGGACAGTTGAAAAGTCGGAGACGGGTTTAGCCCCAATATCTTGCAGTATGTAATTGTGTAACTCCGTACAGGCGTCAGTTAAATTAAATTTTTACTGTTGTTTAATTATATCGTTAATTGTAGCCTCATACCAACTCTGTGTTAGATAACAGGAACTAGTATGTCTACAGGATGACTATTGCAGGCAAGGCTGGTATATTGATGGTATAGTGTGTTGGGGTGATTTTTTGTGTGTGTGTGTGTGTGTGTGTGTGTGGTGACCCTTAATGACCTAGTCAGTCTCCCACAGTGAGTGACGAAGCCGCCTGCGACGCCGTCTACCGGGAATTGGATGAAGCCTACGAAGTGTTGGACTCTTACGTCATCCAGGTGAGCAGTTTGTGGCAACCTTAGGTGAGGTGGGTTGTGACACCAGGTGAGGTGGGTTGTGACACCAGGTGAGGTGGGTTGTGACACCAGGTGAGGGAGGTTGTGACACCAGGTGAGGGAGGTTGTGACACCAGGTGAGGGGGGTTGTGACACCAGGTGAGGTGGGTTGTGACACCAGGTGAGGTGGGTTGTGACACCAGGTGAGGGGGGGTTGTGACACCAGGTGAGGGGGGTTGTGACACCAGGTGAGGGAGGTTGTGACACCAGGTGAGGGGGGTTGTGACACCAGGTGAGGGGGGTTGTGACACCAGGTGAGGTGGGTTGTGACACCAGGTGAGGTGGGTTGTGACACCAGGTGAGGGAGGTTGTGACACCAGGTGAGGGAGGTTGTGACACCAGGTGAGGGAGGTTGACACCAGGTGAGGGGGGGTTGTGACACCAGGTGAGGGAGGTTGTGACACCAGGTGAGGGAGGTTGTGACACCAGGTGAGGGGGGGGGGGTTGTGACACCAGGTGAGGGGGGGGTTGTGACACCAGGTGAGGGGGGGGGGGTTGTGACACCAGGTGAGGGAGGTTGTGACACCAGGTGAGGGGGGGTTGTGACACCAGGTGAGGGGGGGGGGTTGTGACACCAGGTGAGGGGGGGGGTTGTGACACCAGGTGATGTGGGTTGTGACACCAGGTGAGGTAGGTTGTGACACCAGGTGAGGTGGGTTGTGACACCAGGTGAGGGGGGTTGTGACACCAGGTGAGGTGGGTTGTGACACCAGGTGAGGTGGGTTGTGACACCAGGTGAGGTGGGTTGTGACACCAGGTGAGGTAGGTTGTGACACCAGGTGAGGTGGGTTGTGACACCAGGTGAGGTGGGTTGTGGCACCAGGTGAGGTGGGTTGTGGCACCAGGTGAGGTGGGTTGTGACACCAGGTGAGGGGTTCTGTAGCATCCCTCACTAGGTGTGTGGCATTTTTAACGCTGTAACACAAGGTATTAAATGCAGCGTGTTGATGCAATATAAATTCCAGGGAACCTGGGCCCAGATTCATGAAGAGCTTGCGAACCTGTATATCTTTTCTCAATCTTTGGCTGCTTTGTTTACAATTAATAAATACTTAATGAGCTCTGAAGCACCAGGAGGCTATTTATAACAATAACAGTTGATTGGGAAGTTTTCATGCTTGTAAACTGTTTAATAAAGGTAACCAAAACTGCCAAAGATTGAGGAAAGATGCACACGTTCGTGTGTACTTGCGTAACTGCTTCGTGAATCTGGCCCCCTGTACAGTCAGGATATCTTGTGAAGTAAATGTTTTTCGAGGAGGTGGGGATTCTTGACACTGTTAAACTAATTGTCATTGTATTGTGAAGGACAGGTCAGTATAGGTAAATACTGGGCTACCTTTATCTCGACCTCTCCAGTTCATTGGGGTACCTAAGTATGTTGGATGACATGACTCCAAGTGGAGAAAGGTAGTCATTTGATGTGTGCTTATCGTCAATCACAGCGCCTGTTAGATACTGGCCACGACTCCAAGCTGCAATCACATAAATTCTAGCCCATTTGAGGGAAGACTTAGACTTGATTCAAAGTTGAGAGCTTCAGTTACTAGAGACGACTATCAGCCCCATATAGGCTGACAGTCGTCCTAATGCTTTTCAGGCGAATTTGAGACAGTGAACCTAATTGACTGATATTGCTGCGAGTAATACCTGCGATCATTGCCTGTTCTCTCCCCTTGAACCACCTGTTTTTAAGTTTTCAAATCGCAAGTGTTCCGTTATTCTTTACTGACTGTGAAGGTTCAATTTGAGTCTTAAACATCCTGGGAAGTAAAATAAAACAGACTTAAACGTTTCGTGAGTTGTGGAAATTCATTTTAAATTTACATGTACATTTCCTTAATTCACTGGATAACATATTCGGTGCCCGTAAATTATTGTTTTCTTCCCACATTTCATATTTAAATCCTTCCCACCTTCCTCAGTCCCACAACCGTTTCCAGGCCATCCAGACAATGTCTTGGCCCTCCACGCCGCCTGTCTGTCTCAGGCGGATGTCCATCATCCTCCCAGCAATCTTCATGTTGTTCACTCCCGATCATCTTCTCCTGCCGAGACCATTGAGTCTGTCGCCCAGTACGTTGTTGCTGGTACACCTGTCTCTTTGAGTCAGAATCGTAAGCCTGGCTCCTCTCCTTCCTCCTCCCCAGAGGGTAAGAAGGCATCGCTTTCTTCCTCGCCCCCACCTCTGACACTTTCACTCCGTCCCCTCCCATTTCGATGGACGGGCCCCTGTCCCAGCTATGGAGGTTTCTTTAACCCCTGATTCCCTTTCTGTTGCTTGCTCTTGCTGAGGTACATTCCCCGGTTTCTGCCCCCCCCCCCTCCTCCTCCTGTCCTTGACCGCCCCTCTCGGTTGTCTCCTCCTCCGGACCCCGTCCGTCCACCTCTGGTCTGTCTTCCCGCCCTCTTCCCTCCATCCTTATTAAGTTTACCCATGCCCCCTAACCTTGACTTTGTTGATCCTGATCTTCTTTAATATACTATGTTCTTCTTTACCTTTGTTTCTTCAGTGTTCTCTGTTACTGTCCTTTCTCTTTTTGATAATGTCTGTTCTTCAGTGGAATATTCGTGGATTTTATGCCAACTTCCATGAACTCCAACTTCTGATTACAGTTTTCACCACTTTGTGTTTGTCTCCAGGAGCCAATTCTTGGTGCTCGTCCTGGTCACTTTCGTGGTTATTCCTTTCTTTTCTCCCCCCCCCCCAGCTCTTGCTGGGGCTCATAACTCTACTGCTCTCTCAATTCGTTCTGATATTCCCTTCGTCCCCCTACTACTTCTGTCACCTATACACTTCTACTGCCAATGTTTTTGTGGGTAAATGGTATACAGTCTGTTCCATTTATCTCCCTCCAAATGTCCTGCTTTCTCTTCCTGATCTAAACCACCACCTCGACTCCTTGCCAGAGCCGGTGCTCCATTTGGGTGATTTCAACTGTCGACATTCCCTCTGGGGTGATGTTCTGACAAACACCCGAGGCCGTCTTCTCGAACCGTTCATCCTTTGTTCTTCCTTGTCTCTTCTGAATTCAAGTGAGCCCACCCATGTGGACTCTCTTACTCGCACCCTTTCCTGTCTTGATCTTTCTCTCTGCTCGTCGTCCCTTTACTTAGATCTCACTGGCAGGTTCTTGATTACCTCCTTAACAGTGACCATTTCCCCATCCTTGTTTCCTTTTTCTGTTTTCACCCTCCCCTCTCCTTCCCTAGGTGGCAGTTTGCCAAAGTTGACTGGAACCTATTTACCCTTCATGCTACTCTCACTGACCTCTCCTCTTTGCCTCTCCCTCGCGCCCTCCTTTTTCATGACACCGTCTTCAACGCTGCCCTCCGCTCTCTCCCCCGGGGCACACGAAAGTGCGTTCCCTGGTGGAATGCGGACTGTGCTCAGGCTGTCCGCTGTAAGCGTGCAGCCTGGAAGAAACACCAACGCCTGCAGAGAGCTGATTCATTTATTTTGTTTCGGAAAGCAAGTGCGGTGGCCCGTAGGGCCATCCGTACCATTAAGTTCGTTCCAGATGTCTATCCGGTTCTTCACCTCCGTGGTACTCATGTGGCGGACCCAGTGCAGGTCGCGACCGAACTGGGTTCCCACTTTTCTTCTGTTAGCTCTGGTTCTCATCTTCCTCAATCTTTCCTTCTTCGTAAGCCCGTTCTTGAATCTCATCCCTTAGATTTCCACACTCATCTCTGCCTTCCATATAATGATCCATTCTCTCTCTCTCTGAACTTCAGTCTGTCCTGGCCCTCTGCGTTTCTACAGCAGCGGGCTCGGATGACATTCATTATGAGATGCTTCCCCTCTCCCTCTTGCACGTCTCAGTATTTGAGTCTGTATAACCTAGTCTGGGAGTCGTCGTCAGTCCATGAGGACTGGATCGATGCCGTTGTACTCCCTATTCGGAAACCAGGGTCTCTTGGTACATCCCCTAAGGACTTCCGCCCTATTGCTTTCACGAGTTGTGTTTGCAAGCTGTTTGAGCGTATGGTAAATGTCCGTCTGATGTGGTTCTTGGAACACCATCACCACCAAACTTCTCAACTTGGTTTTCGCAAGTGCCGCAGCACGACTGATGTCCTGGTGAACTTGGAGGTCTATATTCGTTCTGCTTTTGCTGCGAAGACCTCCGTTGTTGCTGTTCTTTTTGACCTGGAAAAGGCTTATGGCACGACTTGGAGATACCATATTCTATCTCAACTTCATTCTTTTGGCCTTCGTGTCAATCTCCCTCTCTTCCTTCAAAGCTTTCTCTCTCGTCGTACCTTTTGAGTCAGGCTTGGTACCACTCTCTCTGCCTCTTTTCGGCAGTATGAAGGTGTGCCCCAAGGTAGCGTTCTTAGTACTACTCTTTTTCTGGTTGCCCTCAATGGTCTTCTTTCCTCCTTTCATTCTGGCGTCTTCTCCACTCTTTATGTTGACGATCTTACTCTTTGCTGTCAGGGTGATGATTCGCCTCTCCTTCAACGGCGGCTTCAACTTGCGATTGATGCCGTGTCATCTTGGGCCACCAATCATGGCTTCAAGTTCTCTACTACTAAGACTTGTGCCATGACTTTTACTCGGAAGCGTGTCGTTTTTCGTCCCTCTGTCACTTTATGGTCATCCCCTTGAGTACAAAGATTCCACAAAGCTTTTGGGGTTATTCTTTGACACTCGTTTGTCTTGGTCGCCTCATGTCTCTTACCTCCGTATTGAATGCTCTAAGGCCCTTAACCTACTTAAGGTTTTGTCCCATACTTCTTGGGGAGCGGATACACACGCTCCTCTATTTGCATTCCTCTCTCGTCCTGTCTAAACTCGATTATGGTTGCCCTGCATACTCTTCTGCTTCTCCTTCTACTCTTCGCCATCTTGATCCTTTGCACCATACTGGGTTGCACCTCAGCTTTGGTGCTTTTCGTTCAACTCCTACCCTCAGCTTGTACGCTGATACTGGCTTTGTCTCTCTAGGACCGCCGTGATCGCTACAGTCTTCACTATCTTGCGCGATCCTTACAGCATCCTCACTCTCGCCTCTATCGTGCTTTGACTTTTACCCCTCATGTAGTTCCTGTTCCTCTTCACCACCTCCTCTTTCTGTCCGTTTGTCTCGCTTACAAGATTCTCTTTCGGTTCATATTACTAATGTTTCTCCTCCTATTGTTCCATCCTTGCCCCTGTGGAGGGTCCCCCTTCCCAAATTTTGTACTTCTCTGACCCGCATCACTAAAGCTTTTACCCCTCCTACAGTTCTGAAACGCCTCTTCCTTGAGCACTTTTGTTCTCACTCCCACTCTGTTCCCATCTTCACCTATGGGTCTAAATCTGCTGACGGTGTGGGCTACTCTGTTGTTTTTCCTGACCACATTTATATGTGTCGCCTTCCTCCAGAGGCTAGCATCTTCACAGCAGAACTTTATGCTATTCTCTATGCTCTTCGTCTCCTGCTTTCCCAGTGTCAATCCTCCTTCGTGGTGGTAGTTGACTCTCGTAGTGCCCTCATGGCTTTAGGGTCCTTTAATCCGGTCCACCCGGTGGTCATCGAGATTCAACATTGGCCGTTTCTTATCTCCAGTAAATTTAAGTCGGTTGTGTTTTGCTGGGTTCCCCTCCATATTGGCGTCTCTTTAAATGAGGGTGCGGATGCAGCTGCTAAGAACGCTATCCGCACTTGTCCCATCTCCCGTAAAGGTATTCCTTAATTCAACTTTTATCCAGGTATTCATGCCTCCATCCTTACCAGCTGGCAGAGTTGTTGGTCTTCTGTTATTGGTAACAAACTGCGTACTCTTAGGAGTCGTGTGTCCCAGTGGCCTTCCTCTTGCCACTGTAACCGGCGGTGGGAAACGGCTCTGGCTAGGATATGTATTGGCCATACCCATTTAACTCATGGTCACTTAATGGAGCGCCGACCTGCTCCTTACTGTCCAAATTGCATTGTTCCTCTAACGGTCGTGCACATCCTTGTAGAATGTCCTGACTTCTAGGACAAGCATGTGTCTTGTTTTCTGGCCATTCCCCGCGGTCGCTTGTCCCTTGATAGAATTCTTGGCGACTCGGATACTTTTAATATCGTTTGCCTTGCGCGTTTTTGTTCTCGTATTGGCATCCTTGGTGATATTTAGCGCCCTCTGATATACCGCACATTTGATGGTGCTACATAGCCTTCCCAGTTTGGTGCGTTCTATTCATAATTACTTACTACTATTTAAATAAAAAAATTAATGTTCGTTTGTTCAAAATCGCAAATCTCCGAAAGTTCTTCACCGATTGCTTTGAAATTTTCACACAACATTCTATTCACATCTGAGCGAGTTTTTATATACATACTATATAGAGGTCACATCTGTGATAGGATTTTTTTTTTTAACTGTTATTCGTGTATTTCATGAGGGAAATCTTTGAAACGTCTTTACCGATTGCTTTGAAATTTTGATACAACGTTGCATTCAAATAGGCGGGCGTTTTTATATACCTACTATATACATGCCTCACCTGTAACAGGAAAAAAACATGTTTATTTTTTAAACAGCACCATCTGTTAGACGTAAGAGCAACACACGCTATAATCTCAAAGTTCTTCACCGATTGCTTAGAAAATGTGACACAACGTTCCATTTGAATACACGCATGTTCATATATATCTACTAAATAGATGCCACACCTCTGACAGGTAAAAACATGCTTGTTATGAGAAACAGCACGATCCGTTGCATGTAAGAGCAACACACACTATGCTAAATATGTTATGATTCCATTTCAGTGTTTCTGATTGCATTGATTAATTAAGTTTTCATGGATTTTGATTCATTTTCATTTTGACTTAATTATTTTATGACTGTTGGAATTGAGCTGTGTTGTTTACAATACCGTTCATTTCGTGAGTATAAGTATAGGTGCCACACCTGTGACAGGTAAAAACAGGCTTTTTTGAAAAACAGCGCCATCTGTTGCATGTAAGAGTAACACACGCTATACTAAATATGTTAAGATTCCATTTCAATGTTTCCGATTTTATTGATAAATTGATTTTTCATAGATTTCGATTTATTTTAATTTCGATTTAATTATTTTGTGACATTGTGTTGGAATTGAGCTGTGTTGTTTCAATTTCGTTCATTTCATGAGTATAGTTTACATTTTTATTTTTTCATTTTTTCATTTCGTTTTTTTAACTGTTCTTATTTTTCAGTGATGCGAACATCAGATATTTTGATGTTCCCAGTTTTCTGATGGGAACATCAGCTCATTTGGGAATGCATCGGACGAGGGAGTGGGGGATGGTGGGGAAGACGAGGGGGACAGGGAAGGGGGTAATGGTGGATAGGATGAGGAGGACGGGGGAGATGGGGATGGTAGGAACGAGGGAGTTGAGGATGGTGGGGACGAGGGGACGGGGCAATGAAGAATGGTGGGGAGGACGATGGGACTGGGGAGTTGGGGATGCTAGGAAGGACGAGGGGACAAGGGAGGAGGGAATGATAAGGGACCAGGGGATGGGGAAGTGGGAGATGGTGGGGAGGATAAGGTAAAGGGAAGCGAATTATCAGGGGAAAGTGCCAAGACATTATGACTATAGCACTGGAGGATAAGAGGATGGAGAGGGAAGTTCAGCAACTTGCATGCCTTGCGGAACCACAGCAACCCGTAGCCGGGTACAGCTAATATGTGAATATAATGTTAACTGCTGCACTCCACATGTCCTATTTTTTGTGTATAGGGTCGGCGAAAGAAGTCAATAGCCTTCCTCTCCTATGTCTTGTATAGTACAAATTTATACTACTTGGGCCTCAGGAGTGTGTGTGTTAGATCTTGGATTATTTATATTAGGCCTTAGACAGCTTAGGCTATGTTAGGATGTTTCCAATGTTTGGAATGTTCTTCAGTATGCTAATGGCAATTTTTTTTCTGCATCCGTTCATAGTATAGGGTTATGGGTACAAAAATGTTTGGAGGATGTATCGAATTAAAGCACAAGTCCAGCGTGATTGTATAATGACCTCCAGTATTCAAAGATGTGCACACAGCACCAGCTAAGAGCACTGAATTCACCTCGTGCCTTTTCAGACATTCTCAAGAATTTCTTTGTGCAACATGTTCCTCTTCTCATACATTTCCATCGTGTAAATGAGCTGCTGTGAAAGGTTTAACTTAGGAATGGTAATGACGTCCGCAGCACGAGGAGGACGCTGGCAGAATGAACCGGAAGCTGGAGGCGTGTGGGTGTGACGTCACGTGCAGGTGGGCGGGGCGTGTGGTGAGGCCGGGCGCTGAGTGGCTGGCCGACCCCTGCACCGTCTGTCATTGCCAGGTACTTCCTGCCAGGTCTTCCTGCTTACTTTCCTCTACTTCTGATTTATTTCCTTATCTATTTATTATAATAATAATGCAGCTGGACCGGTACCCATGTTGGATACTACCCTGGCACCTTCACTCAGGTTATAAGGTCATATTGGAAGGAATTTGGAATCGTCATTCATTTATTTTGAATTGATTTTCGCGTTGAAAATTTATAGAAATGTTTAATCATTATTTAAATTGTTCATTTATAATTTGTTAATCACGCTCAGTTAAAACAAATTACCTTTAGGTGAGGTTCACCATTCAGTGGTAACGTAATATTCAACATTGAAAGTGTAAAATACATTTTTCAGGAATATTGCAACTCTGTACATTTTTAACACCTAATATAAAAAAGTAATCTTTTTATCCCATAATGCATACTGATATCCTTTCCTGCGTACAGATATCACTAACAGTATACTGATATCCCTGCCTGTATACTGATATCCCTGCCTGTATACTGATATCCCTGCCTGTATACTGATATCCCTGCCTGTATACCGATATCCCTGCCTGTATACTGATACCCTTTCCTACATAATGATATCCCTTCCCGCATACTAATATCCCTTCCCGCATACTGATATCTCTTCCCGCATACTGATATCCCTTCCTGTAAACTGATATCCCTTCCCGCATACTG